ATAACTCATTATTTATCAAGAAAATTTCAAGTTGCTTGGTAATTACTATATATGTTGAACCAACGGTCAAATCTCTCCAGCATTATCTTTTTTAAATTTCTTCCCAATTAATTTGTTATATTAGTTTCTATTCATGAATTCTATAAATATAGAAAAATATCAACTTGCCTATCATTACAACCTTTTCTAAAGTGTTTAACAGTTGGTCTGTTTTGAGATTCTGCTTAAAGACGTCTTTCACCAATTTCAATACTAGTTTTACCAATAGTGATGAAACTATTTCACCACTCTATATTTTATTTCACCAGTATCTTGGTTTTGCATCTAAGCCATTATTCATCAAATCCAAAAGTAATTGAGGAACTTTGCATCTAATTTCAAGTCTATAACCTAGGCAAATACAATCGAAGATTGGATCTGTTAAATTGAACTAGTAAATTTAATAAAGTTTAGCTTATATTGTAAGTGAACTAAAGCTTTTAAAAAGTACTTACATTAATCAGGGGTTATTGGTTAAAGATTTAGAAATGTTGGGTTTATACTTTTAAGATTTGGTTTCATGAGAATAGGTTCTATACTTGCTAAGATTCATTAACTATTATTTTTTAAATTAAAAAAAAAGTTTTTAATTCAGAATTCTTGTTATATCTAGTATATACAAAATTGAAACAATAAACCAACTTCATAGGTGTGATGTTTTTTGAGTTTGCTTTATACTTAATCTTAAGCTCGATTATAAAAAATACTTACTTTTGCGATTTGCCAAACTTGATCCTCAATGCAATTTCCTTTTTGAAAACTCTTGAAAAATAGGATTGAAAAAGGCCTACTATTGCAATTTACTATAAAAATTGATTTTTTTATATGAGTGTTGATCACTCAAATTTTATATTAAAAAATTTATCTTGTGATCTGCATGACAAATTGTGTGACTGATATACATCTAATTTATGCCAAAGAATTTTAGTTTTGCCAAATTTAGAATAGTTATATATTAAGTACCAAACATGTAATTAAGCAAGTATTTACTAATTAGCTATGACTTTATATCAACTCAATAAAAAGTTTTACATAACTATAATTAGATATTTTATTTATGTATATGATCTAAATTTAATACTAAATTAAATATCACAAAATCACAGAATCAAATTATATTTTATTTATATAATTATCTACAACAATAATTTAATAATAACTTATATTAAGACCAATGGTCTTTTTGGTCTGTCTTAAAAAAGACAAAACCGGCCTAGTTCTAAGACAAACTGGTGGTCTATTGACTTTAGTCAGACTACTTAATAGCCTTAGTACAGTATAGGTGTGAATATCTCTATTTTTAATATCTGTTTAGACATTATATATTATTAAGATTAGGATTAAAAAGTTTTTTAAAGAGGTATTTTACACTCCATACTATATACATCTTGAAATATTAAAAAATTTCTTGTTATAGCATCTTATATCAATATAGTTATACTGTATTTAGTTATTTATGTATTTAATACCTAAACTCAAACCTATTTATAACTATTCTGTATTGGTTGCCCAAAATTTTTTAAATTAAGCCTACATTCATCTGTTTCTAGTTTAGTGTGAAAATGTTATATAGCTACTTATATTAATAAAAATTGTTTATATATTTACATAGAGAGCATAATTTTTAAATCTATTGTTTTCAAAAAAAATTTTATAGAGAACATCTTAAATTTTGTAAATGTTCTCAAATTAAAAGTGATATTCTCATAAGAACATGAGAACATAAAATTTCTAACACTAGGTGCTAGTAGAAACTAAGCAAATCAAATTTTTTTCAAAAATGAGTTTTTTTATTTAACTATAATATAAAATTTTACAAGTAATATTTTTTACTTAATAATGAACCTCTTATTAATTAATAAAATCTTGAGATACTATAGTTTAGAATTTAAGTTATACAAAATTTCATTTCAGCCAGAAACAATCTTCTGATTTTCATTAGATCAGAAAACAGATCATCTAATGATTTATACTAGTAGAAACCAAGCAAATTTATCTAATAAATTTGCTTGGTTTCTACTAGCACTCTCTATAAACTTGCTAAATCTTTTTACTTTCAAATTCAAGTTTATTAGAACATGAGTTAGTATAGTGTTTTTTTAGTTAATGTCTTTCTACTTCAATTCAAAATATCAATATTATAGATTTCAGTATGAATATGACTTAAGCCATTCAATTACTTTTTAGAACTCTTAGAGAGCAAATGAAATAAACATATAAAATAAACAAACTATTTTTAATATAGTAAATCTATTATAATGAATTGACTTCATGTTAAATTTAGTTTAAAGATTCTAATTAAGTTGCTAATTAGGCCAAATAAATTTGATTCAGTAGTTAATATTACATTCCTATTATAAAAGAGATGAGCAAAAAATAAACAAGTAAATAATTAATTATTTATACAAGAAAAACAACTTCATACTTATAATTTTTATAGCCAGAATTCTTGTAATCTAGTGATTAGATCTGCATTATTTTTTAAGGTATTGCCAACCTAAAATAGCAAGTCAGTTGCTAAACAAATTGAGACCTGATGTAACCTACATTAAGCTTAGTCAAAATGGAGACATTTAGATTTGGACAAGAGTAATTTTAGACATAGATGTATCTTCTTGCAACTTATACTAAATCTTGTTTTTGACACACTAATACTTATATTGACAATTTACAATATTGCTAACAAAACCACAGCTTGAGTTCTTTCACTTGAGCTCAAAACCAGAACCAACAAAGTACAGATTTCACAGTCTATTGGGAAAACTAAAAAACAACTACAATTGTCTACAGTATGTTAGAAAAGTTAAAAACACACTATGGCAGTACTTAGTTCGTCTGAATCAACCAGAAACATTCTTCTTTAAAGTCATGTGAACAAGTCAATTATTGAAAAAAGATCTTCACTATGCTAATGGGTCAGAGTAAAAAAATATCTAGTTAGAGTGATTTATTTAGATACTTAGGTTTATATAGATCAAGTGGGTAATTTTTATTAAAGAATGATAATTGTAAGCAAATAGAGCTTATTTTTCTTAGAGCTATCATAACCTTTATTTATATTTAATATGTTTGGTATATTTGATATTTTTGATATATTTAATATATTTGATATATGCAATATATCAGATATAACAGATATATTCAATATGTTTAATATATTTGATATGTTTGATATATCAAATAAATATAATAAATTGCATCTAATTCTATAATTTTAGATCATGCTTGGGCTGCAGCAATTAAGTCAGTTTTCAGATCATAGACAGACATTTGTCTGATTGGCTGATGTAAATCAATAGACTAAGAACTTATTTATATACTTTAAAGCATTTTTTGGAAATGCAATATTTAATCAGTCAGGGAATATGTCCTGTAGATTGATTTCACATAATAATATTACACAAAAATTTTATACTTACTATATCGATCATTACAAGAAAACTTGCAAAACCCTCTAATTATTCGACTTTCTTATTATAATAAACCTTGTTTTACGTACTTTGTTACATTTTCAAATAGCTTTTTTACTTGGTTTTTTATTTTATTTTTCTTATATATTTAAGATCAAAAAATTGTATTATTTTTTAGACTTATTGCCTGCATTATTTTCAGGAAGAAAAGCTATTCAATTTTCTTTAATGGATCAGGCTAATATAGGTAGTAAACTTCATAGTTATTTTGAATGAATTTTAGAATTTATTATTAATTTTTGTTAATACAATAGATCGAAAACTTTGCTATATTTCTATATAGGTAGAAATTCATTCAACATAGCAAAGAGGAATTAACAAGATTGGGTAAGATCAGATGCTTAATCTTTCGTAGCTAATAAATATTGTTTAGCTAAAACATTGACTAATTCTTTAACCTGCCTTCCTTTTAAAACTGGTTTCTTAGTTTTGTAAATATCCTTATGTAAAATATTATATAATCGAACAAGACCTTTTCTGTAAAAATTAAATATTTGTGTTAAACCTTCATTATTAATTTCTTGTACATGCTTGAAAAGATCATGCTAAACAATTCAGGATAATAAAATGCAAAGGTAAGTTCATCAACAAGCTTCAATATAGTTTAGTGTATTTTTTAACTGCTCAATCTCCTGTGTTAACTATATAATCTTTTACAAACTCATCATACAACAATAGTATTCTTTCACGCTCATCTTGAACTACCGTTATTTTTTGTTTAAGAGTATCTGGATCTGATAAACCAGAAGTTAAATTTTGCTTAACAAATTTAACTCCGTATTGCTTCAAGGCTTCATCATAAGCTAAGTAGTAGTTTTTCTCGTAATATTTATCGAAACAACGTGTTTAAATAGTTCATATTGCTGTGGATTACGTGATACTGATTCTAAAAAGGTCACAACTGACGATATATAAATATTTTTACCAGTAGCAGGGAATAATAGTGCGAATGCTGCCAAGCTTTTTAATTGCATATTTGCATTACCCAAGTGAATACCAATATGATGAGCCTTTCAATACCCAGCTAAACAGTAATACAAAAACCATACTTTTAGAATATTTTTATTTTCTCTGAATATAGTTTCTGTATCTAACTGTATATTATTATTGTTTAAATGAAGGTGAATTGCTATTTATATGGTGGTATGAATTAATTCTAATATCCTACAAGTTGCACGGTAATCTACATTTTGCTCTAACTTGTCAAGAAATTGGACGCCAAGCTTTGCCGCCATACTGTAAATATCATACCCACTAAATGCTGCAATTAATGCGCTGCACATGGCTTTTGAAGTATGCTATTGTCCAAGAATAAATTTACAAGTTAAGTTGTTATTTGCATATTTTTTGTTCTTGCAAAAATTGCTGCGTCATATGCTAAATCAACAACATTTTGTTCAAGATCTCTTAAATACATGTCGATTGATTTAAACATGGCTTCATTGCTATTAGGTGCTGGTCTGGGTTCCAATATAACAATATTTGGCAAGTTTACTCAACACCCTGATTCGACAATAGAAAGTATTTTGGTATTCATTTCTTCAATTCCAAAATTTTGTTATATTTATATATTAATTGGTTTATTATTTTATCAAAATTTTCATCCCAATTGGACGTAAATAAGGATTGACCAAATAAATTTTGCTGAGATTCTGGAATTACTTGAGCAAGAGATGAGAGATTGAATAGAAGTTCAAATTGAAACACAATTCTTAGAGTGGCATGTGCAGATTGCCACGTAACATTATAAATATTTCCATATTTAAAAACAATATTCTTGAAGTCAATGTTATCAATAACAGCAATATTCCATATATTCGGACCTTTGATCAATCTTGTTAAAGGATTAGATTTGTTTATACGCTCTTTTTCCAGTCTTGTTTCGTGTATTCAGATATGGGATGTAATATATACCATACGTAATATGGCTTGCAGAGAATATATTAATTTAGGCTTTTTATATAAAGAAGCTATAGTATAGGTAAGCCGTATTTTCCATTGACGAAATGCTATTGTTAAAATAATAGATGCAAGAAATGAGGTAATCTTTTTTATAGCAATTGTATTAAATTCAGTCATGTTGTCTACTTTTCTTTTTTCTTACTTCATATTTTTGCTTTTCAATAGATTCGATTAATCTATCAAAAAAACCAGTAAGGACCAAAGGAAAGTTTGTATAATATTCATCTAATAATAAGGGTTTTTCTAATTTATTACGATTTTTCTCAATTTCTTTACATGAATTACATATCGTATTTCCTAACATTTCTCCAAATTGACGACATTCTTCTACTTTTACAAGTTTTTTATTTGTAGGCAAATAATAATCAAACTTCTTAATTTTCATGGCGATTGTTACAAGCAATGGGCTAGGTAAATCAAACTCTGTATCGATTGAGGATGCTGATAATGATCCTGGGGTTTCCAATAGTTTTATAATATGCCATAATACTTCTTCTTTATTCTTATTTTGAGAATGCAAAAGGTTGAATAACCAAGATGAGAAAAGCTTTAAAATACGGTTAGTATCTTCTACATGCAATTGATTATCAATACATGTTTGAGACTTTCCAGGTCCTACACATTTATAAAGATGTTCCTCATATTTTTCAAAGTATTTTGTACAGACATATCAAACATGTCTGTTATTAATTGTAAGTCTCGAAATAATATTTGGAATTCTGTGAAATACTGGACATGATTTCAAACCAAGACACAGAACTTGAACATCTCTCCTGCATACATTCTAGCAATGTTTAATACAATTACTACCTCTGCTAAAGAACTTTTTATATTCGTTACAAAGTAAGCATTTTTTTTTATAAACTATGCTTTTAGAATAATGCCTTAATGTTTTAGTGCCAGATGAGTGAAGTTGCCCATAATCGAAATTGAAATGATTAGAGCAAACTCCTAACTCGGTTAAATCTGAAGATTCCTCTGAAGTCAATTCTATTTCCCATGTTTCGACTAATTGGACCAATAATACTAGAGAATCTACTGAATTGCAATGCCTAATTACTCTATTTAGGTTATCAACGATAATACAAGGTGAACGTTTTTTTGTTGTAATTTCATCATAATATATATCATTATCATAATTATCATTATGCCAAGATAATGTATCTTCAGTATCATTATCTTCATCTTGCATTACTTGATCTTCTAATAAATCTTTTGCTCTAGTTGCAGCCAGATAATCGTGAGTAAACACGAATTCCTGATTATTCAGATCATTATTCCAAGTTTCTTCTTCCGGGCCTTTGTACACAGAATAATTGTAAGATTTTTCTATTGTAACTTCTTCCATTGTAACAAATTACTTATTTAAAATTTTATTAGATAATGTATATTTTGTAGATAATACTTTATTTTTTAATGTGAGATGAAAGAGTTAAGTTGTCTTATTTATAGATTTTGAATTCTGCTACTTGAAACATTTAACAAAGATATTATTTAAGGGTAGAGTGTACGTCGATCATTTATCATATGATTTTGGTTGTACAATGAGATTTTATACATAAATTAAAATACACTACTAACAAAAGTTCTCAAAGCCACTGTCAATCTTTACCAAAATTTTGTAATATATAGATTAAACCTTCTATTTATAGTATTAAAATTTTCAGGGGTTATATTATTTTAAAAAAATGTACATACATATAGCGTAAAGTTTGCCGGGGTTCTCAAATTTGCCAGAATTACACAAAAAAGATTGACAATGCATATCATATGATAAATGATTTACGTACACTCTACCTTTAACAAAGATAATTTAGAAAGTGTTTTATAAATAATTCAAAAGATGAATGTTTTAAAAGAAGCATTTGAACAAGGTGTTTTAGAAGCAGTTCAAAAAATGAATAGTTTAAAAAAAGCACTTGAACAAGGCATTTTAGACAAGGTACAAATGTTTTAGAAATTTGAACAAAGTTTTTAGACAAAGAATACGTTTGATACTTAGTGAACAAAGATTTAAACATGTTATTAATATTTATTTTCATTCCATTTTCATTGTATGTTAGGTATCAATTTAATTTATCTTTTAAATTTATTATTATGGTTTCATTATGATTTCATCCTGATTTTATTACAATTTGTAATTAACGATTAATTAATACGAATAAAAAAAAATTTAATATACATAAAAATTAAAAAAAATTACATAATAAATAATACAAAGTAACAACTTTTTATTTCCAATAAAAATAATAAGTTATAGATTTTGAATTACAAAATTTCTATGAATTCCAAACAATCGTTTAAACCAAACATATATTTTGACTTTACCGAGCCAATATGCACAATACACAAGAGCGAATCCACCTTTCAAATATTTCTTGAATATCTTCAAATTCATCGTAAAGAATCTATAATAATTACTATTTGTTTTCAATCAGCATTTTTTTAAATCATCAACTTATATTTTATTATAAGAAAATAAATAATTAAATGATATTAATTATCTTTAAATGTTTCACTATTGTTATCATATCAGCAGCCTTTTTATAGAATTTGAAAAATCTTTCTTTCTATAACAACAAATCAACTATATATGTTCTATTGCCATTCTTAATAATATTTGAAAGCCTTTTACCATTCTCTTCGATGCTAATTCCAAAAAGCTACAATCAATATTACATATTCGTTAAATTAACTTGAATCAAGAGATAAAAAAAAAAGTAACTGGTTAACAAAAAAAAATAAAATAAAAATTGAGATTAAATAGAAAGAAATGGATACTATTCTTTCATAATTATGCCCTGAAGTTTGTAAGGCTTTTTCTGATTACTGTAGACAAAACCTGATGTAAATTAGCCATCATGGTGTAGAGATTCTTCACATTTTGGTACAGTCAAACCTCCCTAAGTGCACTTCTCTAAGTACACGGATTATGTAAATTCTTTCTAAATGCATGGTATAGTCAGGTTCCAACTTATAAGAGCTCTATATATTTTGCTCTTTATAAACGCACACCCTGCCTAGTGCACACTTTTTAATTTTTTTTCCTATAGTCCCAAAGTGGTGTACTTAAGAAGATCTGACTATAATGACAAATGATCCTGAAGAGATCTATTATAAATAATAAAAATTTTAGTGAAAGGGTTTTGAAAAGAACGTTACTTTAGTTAAACACCAGTTTGAAGTTAAATCCACACTGGAAGTTTGACGAGGTAGTGATTTTCAAATTTTTGATATAGGCAAGATTCAGAAACGTTAACAAACTTTAAGCCCGACATTATTTCCTGTTTACATATAAATCGGTTTTCAAACTTATACTATTTAATAAAGCAAACCCTGTAGAATAGCGTTATTTAAAGAATATTTTTAATATCTTTCACGCGTCACGTGATTCAATTAAAAGCGAATAAAAACCTTTAAAAATTTTCATAGTTAATTTTAAAAATTGATCTACATTTTTACTATGATTATGTGTTTACATATTTGGACAGGTGACATATTCCGTGACTGTTATTACAGCACTAATATACAAAAGCCATTTTTTTGGCTTCATAAGAATATTTATATTCACTATGCAAAAATAATCAGTAAGCCCAAGAACTTCATTTAGAAGCAAATATTTTTACTATTTATTATAGCATTAGTCATATTAACTGTATATGTAAGTTCTAAATGCTAGAAACATTTAACAAAAAAAAAAAAGATTGAAATTTAGTTGTAAGATCTAAATCTAAAGAACTTTGTTATACAGTTTAACATGCTATTACAGTATTATAACAAAATAATGCTCTTATTTTATTTATTTTATATGTAGTTTGAATATTATAGAGTAAAACATTAGTAGCTTTGAGTTAAATAGTAGGTTGATAGTATGTATAGTATTGTTCATTACTTCTTCAGTAATTTTGTTAATTGTATCCTGTTGAGTTAAATTGTAGATTTGTAAATTTTTGGCGGCTTTGATTTGGTAGGCATTAAGATATTGGAAGAAGAAACCATTACGACATTTGACAGATGAGTGTGTAGAGTTGTTCATGCAGTAATCTTGTTCAGCAGAGTCTGCTAGTTTGTCAAGAAGTTGAGTTGGGATAGGTTTGGAGAAGGTAGCTTCATGCTCAGTGTCAAGGTCAAAGATTAAAGAGTCGATTTCAATCTGGGGTGAATCAATTTCTACTGGGTATTCTTTGTAGGATTTGGTAAGAAGGTCTTTGAAGAATTTTTTGTATCATGTCTGTGGTCTTGGACATAATTGCAGTTTTCATATTTACATGTTAAAATATGAAAATTAAGATGTCTGAAACATTCGTTTCAGCAGTTTTCATAACAGGAGGTTGTTGGAAAGTATCTAGTACAGAAGGTAAGTATTTTTTGAATTGAAAAATAAAAGTTCTACGAATCTTGGATTGGATTTCGTCAAAGGTATCTTTTTGTTTAGTGGGTCTTTGAATTGACGACTATATATAGAAAAGAAGTCCTTGAACCATTCTTTAAAATGATCCAGAGAATTTTTAAGAGAGGAAATAGAGAAGTTTTTCTTAAAAAGAGATATAGATAGATTGAAGAGTAAGTTGATATTGAATTTGTTATCAGATTTGATGGTTAGGTATCTTCTTTCTTTGTTAGTATTAACTATTTGAGGAGTGAGTTTGTAGGTCTTGATGCAGAGATTAAGGCCTTCTGCAAATTTATTATAGTCTATAGCTTGGTATATATCATGAAGATAAAGATGTAGTCTAAACAGAATTGGAGACTATTTTCAGGTTTGTACGGAGAGATAGTTGCAGGTGAAGCAAATATTTCAAGGTAATTTAGTTTGGTAAAAAAAATGGAGATAAATTTTGCAATGATTTTTTTAAGAGTGGTTTCAATAATATCAAAGGGAATATTGTTTGTTTATTAATATTAGGGTTAATTTGGTAAATATAGTTAATAAGAAATGTGTGTCTTTCTCCTACCATATAGCGAATTATGTGGTAGAAGCTGGCTTTAAGTGGTTGCTTGTTGAGGGATGCAGTTTTAATAGTGGTGTCAGAATAAAAATTGTGGAGATGTTTTTTGAGAAAATCATAGAGTTATTGGGAGAAGGCAGTTTGTAGTTTGTTTTTTTGTTCCATTTT